CTTTGCTTTCAGAGCTACTTTAATTCTTTATGACATCAATTCAACAAGGTGCTAGAAACATTCCTCAGGCATCTTGCTACATATTGACAAGATAGCTTCACACAGTTGATGCAATTTTTTTTCTCTACATGCATGATGAGAATCTTCCATTCCACCACATCTAGTGGAGGCCGTTTGAGTACACTGACCTCATTGTCATTGCCAGGAGTTTCAAAATGATTGGAGACTCCTGGCAAACTATCCTGTTGTGAGCAGCCATCATAAAACAAGTTCAATGTCACCATAAAGGGATTAACATGGACAGCAACAGGACTCATGTAGGCTGAGTCCAAAATTGTGACAAAAAAATATTCTCACACCATTCGACCACTAGCAAGCTGAACCATTGATACAAGGCATGATGGATCCACACTTTCATGCTGTTCATGTCAAATAACACTTGCAGACCAAGCAACATTTTTCCAATCATCTGTTGTCGAGTTGTAGCCTCAGTTCTTAGCTGACAGGAATGATTTAGTTTCAAGGTTCAACTTGTTTGGTATTAAGAGATGCTCATGTCTTGTATGTAACAAGTGGTTATTTTGGTTACTTTTGCCTCCCCATAAGGTTCATAAGCGTTTTATCTAGAGAACTGGATACTTTCTCTTTTTTGGACACCATTCTCTGAAAATCCCAGAGATGGTTATGTGGGAAAATCCCATTAGGTCATCTGGGACCAACAACCAGCAGGTCTGAGTTGCTGTGATGTGATTGGTTCTGATTGGATCTCTTTTGACATGTAGTTGCAAAGGTGTACCTAATGAAGCAATTGAATAAAAGCCATCTTGATTTTTGTGTATTAATTCAATTTTTTAGCTGAGTTACACAACTGTGAGCAGTATTTCTCCTTTTTTTTTGCTCTTAGCAAATTGGTAGGAAAAGTGAGCACAGTGTCAAAATTAAGATTTGATCCCTCCGCTTAATAATCAAACTAAAAATTATACCACAAAAGCTTTAAGTTCGTCCATAATAAAACCATATCTATGAAATCTCGTTATCATGAACACTTTCTGGACATTGACAGGGCCTTTTAGGAGATACTACACGAAATTGTCCAAAACACCAAATATATATTTGTGATAATAAATCTTGCAAGAGGCAGAATTTATTAGCACAAAAGATGATAAATCTTTTGGTAATAAATCTTTTCTTTTTTTTTTTACTCGCACAGTAGGCTTTCATTCATTTACTCCTTCTGTTTTCTTTATTCAGTAAAACAAGAAATATAGTACACACGAGTAGTGGTTTTGGTCTTTTTCTGCTGAATACAAGTTATGTATTGTTATTAAAGCTGGAAAACAGTATTTGCCACTGATGTGCAAAATCACTTATTTACCATCTCTGTGCCCGGTTAAGGTAAGTGACCAGCGGATGTCAGTAACTTGTCACTTTCCCATGATGATATAACAGCTTTAAATAACATGACTCATTACTTTACAGTGACACACAATGAAGTCCTTAACAGAGTGAAAGTGGCTCTTCACACCATAATAGCTTACAATAAAGCATTTCCCCTGGGGTTGGATGAACAGAATTAAACAGGGATAATGACCGCATGGGAAAAAATCTATATCAGAGATGAATGCAGCAAAATGAAGCTACAGAAGATTGCTGAAGCACATCAAAGAAAGTCAGACAATTCTCTGATTGTGGTGGCTTTTACTGCTGTATGAATAGGTCTTCATTTTGTCTCATTTTGTCTGTTCTTTTCACTACTGACACACTCACACACACTCGCACAGAGAAACACGACACTTCCTTTCCAGTCTCACTTGTTGTTTAGATTTCAACACCACGCCTTTCGCAGGGATACGGCTTCAGCCTTCCTGGTAATTCCACTTAAAAGTAATGATTAACTTCATATCTTCTGAAGTCTGAGGCGGCCTATGCAGAATTTATTGACGAGCCAAAAGGACTGTGGGACCACAAGCTCTGAATAAGAGCTCAGGAGAAGCAGCAGTTCTCGAGAGGTCAGTTTGGTGAACAACAAGACTTAACAGACATCTGGTTGATGAATCCGGCTTTAAGGTCAGCCTTCCATCCTGTCTGCAGGAAAACACCTAGTGTGCATTTACCGAGAGCTAATTAGGTTTGATGGTTCTCTATGTTACAGAGAAATGCGAAAGATTTGACAATGGGATTCACAGCATTGCACACGCTCTGGCTTCTGACTGCATTTGCTTTTACAACACAAGGTATGTGAAATTACTAAACTATACTAAATTACTATAAATTAGTATTTGCTGAGTAGAGTTTGAAATATCTGTGACAACTGTTTTGCAGCTTTGGATCATATTAACTTATCTGAACTATGAATCAAAATTTAAGTCAGTGTAAAAGGGTGAATATTCTAATAAAGGTGTAATAATGGTGTGATGGCGTTACCTCCTCCAACTTTAAGACACAAAAAAACGAAACATGAAACATTTCTTTGTCTGTATCTTTATCTGCAGAGTTGGTGAAACTAAGAGTTAGTCCCAAGATTACTGCAGAGTGTGGCGAGCAAGTTACCCTCAACTGCAACACATCCTCGGCTCATCATGGAATATCAATCAAACTTATGCAGTGGTTCCAAGAGGAAACACTTTTGTGTTCTGTGGACAGTAAAGGGATCACTACTAAATTCCACAGAGCATCTCTGAGTAACTTTACCTGTGAATATGAAGATGGACGGCTGTCGCTAATCTTCAAAAAGATGCTCCCTCCAGAGAGCGGAAAAAAATACACGTGTAAGCAACGCTCCAACAGAGGAGCACTCAATGAATCTACTAAAGTGGAGTTACAAGGTCAGAGTTCTTCAGTTTAATTTTCCTATTAACGCAAATTATAATATTGCAGAGTAATATGTTTAAACTTCAGTTTTATTACAAAACACATTTTTACTTTGCTTTTGCATTGCAGTCTTCTTTTTTGCCTCTGCTTCCAAATTTACCAGAACACATATCAGACCAAATACAAAGAAAATGCATTTAAACACAAATGTTAATAATTAAGTAAATGTTAAGCAAATGTTTCCTTGTGATTCATCTGACAGCAAAAATTGGCGTAGGATTTGAATAGTTTCACGCGCTAAATGAGATTATTGAATGACGCGGTGTACGTCGAGTGCATTTTAAAACCTTTCTCGTGGTTTTCCCTGCAGAGTGTGGTGGGATCGCGGAGGGTAAATTAACGACCACGGGACCTGTGTGCACCTTCAAGCAAGTCTACCCAGACGGAAATGTCCACTGGTTCCACGGCTCCCGCAACCTCTCAGATGGATCTCTGAAACAGTACACCGGAAAAAGTGTGGACGAACAAGGCTGGCTTACTATCCACAGTTACCTGGAGCGGAACAGTTCACACGGGCCTTACAACTGCTCCTTGAAGAGCACCGTGTCTGACAGATACATCGCAAGTATGTTGATACAGAATCCTGAACCCCGGAAGAGCACTAGAGCAACACACTCCAACGGCAACAGAGTTACAGCCCGGGAAAGTACCAGGACAATTTATTGCCTTTTAATCTTACTTCCAGTTATATTTAAATAATGGAATTCCCACATCACGGAGTGTCACCAGACACGGGGGATATGGGGAGGCATGAATCAATGATTAACACTGATTAGAAGCAACAAGGTACTGAGACTTATGGATTTTTTGTCAAAACCAGGGCATTGAGAATCAGATTAAGTGAGTCATCTTGCGTAATCCAAAGGCTTATCTTTCTTTCTTTGTGCTATTGGCTGACATGAACAAGAAAATTACACACCACAGTGAGGTGATAAGAAGACAGCCAGTAATCATAACAGTATAAAATGTGTTGTTGTTTGGCTTCAATAGAGGCTAGGAGAGAAATGCACAGTGGTTTCACGGATCTTTTTAAGAACACAAGGAGATGTATAAATGGAAACACTCTCAGAGAAAATGCACTTTCTTATAATTGCTAAAGTGATTAAAAAGTCTGTACTGGTTCAGTTTAATCAGCAGCTATAAACCTTTCCATGGATGTTTTTTTTCTCAAGCATGTCCAGCACTGTCATCTGTGTAAAAGTTCTCTATGAATGAAGACCATAAAAGGCTCTTTGTTAGATTTATTTCAGAAATACAGAACTGTCATGTAGCAAAACCCCCTTTTCTTTCAGTCAAGCAATAAATCTGTCTAGAGTTTATGGACAGATGCTGCCCTCTGGTGATATGTGCTGCGAATTAGAAGTAGCTGCTTTAGGAACCATTTGGGAGCAATATGTTTTCATTCAACGGGCTGATTTACCACACTTTGCACCAGCCTGGTAAACATAGGCAATTTAGTTCAGAATCATTAATTCCAGGTGAGAGCTGATCTATAGAAAGTAAATCAAATAACAAAATAGTTACATCACAGGAAAGCACAGGAGAAAATGTTGTGGTAATTTCACTTGCTGTCAGACTTAAACAATGGAAATCGCAAAAAAAA